CCATAGGAGGAATACGTTTGAATCAAAACATTTCTTTTAAAATAAGAACTTTAGTTTTATAATTAATTTTGCATTGCAGATAAATTTCACAGCTGTAAACTCGGCTACGTCACATTGTTTATCTGCTGTATCCTGAAATTTTCATCGGAGTGTAAATGTTTGTACTAGGTTTTTCAGGAATGCTTTCTAAATTTTCAATCGAACGTTTAATACAGTCAATTTTCATTGTTCAAAAATTTATATAAACTGAAATATAAAAACCCTACCTGGATAAATGATATCTATTTGGGATTGGGCAAATGAACACTTCTTTTTTATGACACCTTCATGAATATCCAAATGCTCTTTTAGAGTAGATGGGGGAATTGTATAGTTGAAGAGGATATGGACGGCTTCCGTACCGTATCTTTGGCATAAAATATACAATCGAAGAAAGTTGCTCTCATCTTCTGATATCATATTTGGATCCAATTCTAAATTATGAAAGAAAGAAAATAATAACATTTGACTTTTGTGCAATGTACTACTGGCTTTCAAACATTAGGAAATGGTTCTCGACTATCTCAAGGTAAATTACGGATGAGTTATCACTACATGTACAAGTATTGTTTCGCTAAATCTTACGCTTATTTTGTATAATTGACTTTATTATGCATTTCAATCTAAATATTTTGATCGCTAGTGTTGTTCTGACGTCATAGGTGACAATTATGGTCGATCAAAGTATTTACTTTGATTACAAAACGGTTCAAACGGTTAATCCATTAAACCTGCTAGAAAGTATACGGGATAATTGGACAGCTATTTCGGTATAATTTCAAAAAAATGTGCACGAAAAAAAGTTTGAGGAATATTTGTTTTACACGCCCTGGACTTGGTCGGTGCAAGGTTATGATTACATACACAACAGTCGTTAATCTACAATCACGATTTTAAAAATATAAAATGATAGATTTAAATTCCTCCAATGTCAATTTTAATAGCTATCGCACACTGACACAAAGACAGCCGAACGAGAATTGCATGCGTTGCGTTTTAATTAGGCCTCAGCGCCTAACCTATTGATGTGCCTGATTTACATTCCGGTAGAATTATCAAGAATCAACTCCACTAACTTTCAAAGAGTTATCACTGAAAGAAAACAAATAGAAATAGTACGAAATATACTGTATGTTAGCTTAATTCAAGGTCCCCATTCAGAGAAAAACATAAAATAAATGGAAAATGGATGATAATGAAATCTACATGTAACGTTATATCTATAGTCTTAGACTAAGTCTTGTCTGCTTTTCTTTCTAGTATATAATACTAATTATACCTTTCATATATTTACAACACAGTTAGTCAGTGTAGATTTATTTAAACAAAGAAAAACTAGGGTTATTCAAAAAGTGTGTACGGTGTAGTTCGTTTTTATTTATCGTTGTATTATAACCAGATTTTGGTAAACATATTTTAAAACAGATTCAAATATTTCGAGTAAAAACAAATGAAATATGTCGTGATATTTATTAAAATCATCAAAGATCTAACACAGCAACAACAAAACAAAAAAAAAAACGGTCACACAGCAGGGTCAAAATTGAGTTATTTATTATTTATTCTCTTGGAATGTTTATCGCCATACCACTTCTGAGTGGTGCTTAAGCGAGAGAAAATTTAAATGCTTAAATTTAATATTTAATATTAATTTAATATTGTTGCATTGTTACTTCAGGAGCTTAAATGTAATGTGAGACATTGCTATGTTTAAATGATATTAATTTCTAAAGACAGATATACGTACTTGATTAAAAAAAAGCAAAAAAAAAAAAAAAAAAAAAAAAAAAAAAAAACCATAACGTCGAAGGACGTCACGGGCCAGTGATCAACAATAAAAGTTTGTTCTGAAGTCAGGAAATCTCAAAACTTTAAAAATACTAGAGGAACAAAAAAAATACTGTATAAAATGAGCCGTGCACTTGATTATAATGTAAAAGACAATTTTTTGAGGAATAGAGACTTTGAATCAATCAATGACGGTCTACAAAGAAACATATTATAATTAAAAATCTTGTCAAAAGAGTTAAGAAAGTCATGGTAATAAAACGTGGTTTGCGCTTCACTGTTGCAGAACTTGTGAAAGCAGAATTACATGGTTAAGAATTTGAAAACAATGATGTCAACAATCTTATTTAGCGTACTTCAATAATTGTTAGCAAACTAGGTGTCAAGTGTTATAGTTAAGTTTTATGAATGGGGAAGGCGCTACAAACTGTGTATAAAAGGAAAGACAAGAAACTTTCTCGACGTTGTTTTTGATATATGTTGATAACCTGTTCCGTGGTGATAAAACATGTTGCTTTAAATTTGGCTAATATTAGTTCTATTTAATCAATTGGAATCGGCATAAACATCACATGCCGATAAAAAAAATTGTTTTTACATAGAAAAATGTTTTTAATTTTCTTTTTTTTTTTTTGTAAGAACATTTTGATATAATATGGAGAATTATAAATATCTACGTATTTTTACTGATCCCCGTGCCTCTTACTTATTTCAAACTTTTTTCATTAATATAAACTAGATATCTTTATATTTGTTGTTATGTAATACCTCCAATGATTTTAATAAAAACTGGAGAACTTTCTCCAGTTCCTGCAGCATTGGTGACAAGTGCCTGATATGTTCCCTCGTCGCTTTTATCCGTGTTGTTTATTTGCAATACCGTTGACTGACTCCCTGCATATTTTAAATCTTCTGTCTTTAAGATTTTACCAACATCAGTGTTTTGATGGCCATATTTCCATGATACCTTAAAGTTCTCTTTTATATTGAGGCGTAAACGTAATTGAATTGTTCCACCTACTCCAATGCTAATTTCCCCTCTTGGATGAATTGTAACCAGTGGCACTACTGCATTAAAAAATGGATAAATAAATGTAAGTGATATTTAAAATCACACAAAAAGGGAAAATAATGTATCTTAGGTTAAAAATATGTACAATCATCTTTTATCAACCACAGATAGTTACTGATCACTTTTCTCTATTGATAAAAACATTTACTCACACTGCCACTTACAGAAAACTTTTCAACATTATCTAAACTGTTCATTCTTCTTAATCGGCAGAGTTATAAGATTTCTTGACAGGAATATCAGGACATCCGAACAAAGTTGTGTTCTACATTGCTTTATAAATACATCTTCTTTTAAAAGTAGATTGCATATATATTTATAAATTGTACGAGGGTTGATCCAAAAGTAATGTCATAGTGTCCATATCTTTAATATTTGGCGTCATATTATCGAATACAATATACCAAAAGATTCACAAATATAAATCAGATGAACATTCATGATTGAAATTTTCATCTAAGAATGTTTAAATGAATTTATTTTATAAACGTTTAAAACATAGAACATAGGGGGTGTTGCCGCGTCAAAACCAAACATCACGAATTAAAGTGTACTTTTTAAGAATGAAAAAAAAACAAACACATTAACTATAGGCATCTTTACAAAGCACCTCATCGCCCAATATTTTAAAAAGACAAAAATTACATTATTTTTTGGTCTTTATAGCTCAAAATTTAATGACACCATTGCTATTTTTATCATACACATGGTTGTTTTACTCTGTTGCATTGTTTAACGGAAATGTTGTGATGGAAGAAAATCGCCACATTAGTGACAACAAACTGTAATGCATTTTTTTTGCTTTAAAATAGGGAAATCGGCAGTAGAAACAGTTAGGCTTATTCACAAGTCTCACAGAGGAAAGGAAGTAAATAAAAGAGTTTTTTTTAAGATGCATGGTTTTACCGATTTTGGATAGTTGATGGGTTTTTGAATGCTCAGCAGATGACAAGAAAACCGAAAGAAGGGAGGGTGGACGGAAAATTTCAATGGCGTGTGACGTTGTCAAAAAAGACAGGCGGTTAAATTGAAATGTGAAATTATAAGTTTATCTAATGCTACTCTTAATAAAATTTACACAGGAATTAATGATAAAAAAGTGAGCGTACGAGTGGTAACATGAATTCTTTAAAAATTGAAGTTTGTGAATGTGTTTAAAATCTCAGATTTTTATTTAATGAAACGTAGAGAAGCGTTGAAAGTGTATGACGGTGCGTATCCGTCATAATTATGACGTTATTTAGGTGCAGCGACTACCAGAATCGCACGTTACATATAATCCGATATCTTAAAAAGTATCAATTATTTTGAATTGAAATTTTCAGGTCTGATTTGAAATAAATGTAGCTTTCATCGTTTATAATTTTGCCGAAGTAGTGACATAACTTTTGGATCAACCCTCGGACATGGAACGTTGTATTGTTGATTTCTTTCACAGCACATAATACGTTTATCTGAATGGTGACCTTATTTAACTTTTGATAACTTTGTTAGATTATAAGAAGTTTTCAGTTGTGTTAAAACTGTCCTACTATTTTCCAATATTTATTCTGCATGATTTTTGGCGAATGATATTGGCATGTCATTACTATACAATGTGAAGAATATGTAGAATTTACATTTTCAGTTAATCCTTATGAGGTGTTTCATTCACTCCTAAACCCGCTCTCTGTACTGATTAAAATACCTTGCCGTTCATCTTCAGTGTCTATTTCAGTAGCTTTTGAGGCCAGATTGACGTACTCTCTCGAAATTGCTTTTTCCATTTGATCATCGTTATTTGTTTTCTTTGTTACTGAAATAATATATTTGAAACATAGAATTAATATTCCGCAATTGTCGTTCATTATTACCATTAAAATGCTCGAATTGTATCTGTTTTCAATGGAAATAAGACCTACATGTAAAAGAATAAAATACCTTTCTTCTGCACAAAATTGACAACAGAGTGTACCACTTTTATTGGACTGAAGACTTTTTCATTGTTGGCCTCTTTATTAGCTAATAAATTAAAAAATAGTTTGTTAAGTTGAAAGAAGAAAAATCATTACGTACTTTCTCTTCGTGAAGCAAGATTATACCTTTTACTTTCTTTGCCGCTTTTATAAGTGTGTGACGGTTTCCAAAAGATTTTACTCCTATCTCTTTCAAATCGTCATGAGTCATTTCTCTTAAGATGCTTAATGTAATGTTTTCTTGTTCAAAAATATCTATGAGACAACCAAGGTTAATTTTTCTTAGAAATGATGCTATGTCTGTTTCTTCACATTCGTTTTCTTTTTCTGGACCAGTTTCATCCATGCTATGTACTGGAAATAAATAAAAATACATAATAAAATAATATAATAAACCCGATAAACATACGGAACTCGAACTTAATGTTTGACACCTTTGTTGACTGATCAGAAGTTGCCTGCAGTTAACAAGATCAGTGTTCATGATTATAAATTCCCATTTTGCTGTCTGGTTGATATTTGACTACAGACGTCGACAGGTGTTTTGAATACTTTTTAAAACTACTTCATGTTTTGTCCTTTATATTGTCGTCTGGTTTTTGTAAGAAAAATATTGTTTTCATTCAGTCTTATAGGACATTTATCTTTCTTGTTTACAATAGCTATTGTATTGTCTTTTGAAGTGAGTATATAATTTTTTTAAGATTGTTTAAATGCTTTTCCTATTAAAGAATTTTGAATCTCCTGCCAAGACACCTTTGGGTGGGTGGATCCAATCTCTGATTGGATTGTAGCTGTTTGCTACTGTATTTTGTTTTCCTACTTTTTTTGATGGCAAGCAGCAGTTAAGAGTATTTCGTATTAATTGCAGATAATTCCATTTATGTGGCATGTTCTTGTTAAATAATGTTATTATATAACTGTGTCTGTATTCTATATGGCTTTAAACGAAGCAGCTATACTGTTCATTTTATTGAACTAATTTTACCCTTTTACTATATCTAATATGGATTCAACCAATCAGCAAAGCTCTTATCTGTCACGTGATCATTATTGAATCGTTTACCAAAAGAGAAAGCATGGTTTTTTGAACTGCTGAATTTTTCGAACCCACCATCCATCCCATCTGCCACACTTTCAGGTTGACATTTTTGTTGTTATGTTTTACCCATCTTTTTTCATAGTGTTCGAATGGGTTAGAGCATTCATTCTCTAGCACACGCTCTCACTGAACATTAGTAACAATTTTGTACATTGTAATAAATGGCAATTTCATGTATAGGGTTAATGAGAATGAGTCCGACATTCATTTTGTGTACCTTGCAATTTTGCGGCAGACTGCAGATTTCCATGTGATTTTACAAGTGTTGCTTTTTATTTATGGGTTTTCCTCAGCGGCGATGGAAGCAAAGCTGTCTTCGTTTTAAAGCAGGCTGATTGATTTGTTATTGACTGTTATTTTGTTTTCCCACCTTTTTGATGGCAGGCAGCAGTTTAGAATATTTTTTATATGTCTTCAAACCTTATGATGTTTATATGTGGTCAACTTAAAATATATGTATACTGTACCTTGTAAAAATTTACAGGGTTTGAATTTCTATTCTAATCTGGTTGACCCCCCTTTTGCCTATATACCGGTACATTGTATTACAATGTCATTATGGTGCTGGGGTCAGATTGTGTAATATTTTGCCTGCGAGGTGTACATGTACTACTCTATATTTGAATCTTACTTTTTCTTACCTACCGGTCACGGTAGCCTAGTGGTAGAGCGTTCGCTTCGTGATCGGGAGGCCCGGGTTCGATTCTCGTTCGCGGCGCCGCGTCATACCTTGAAGACGTAAACAAAGGTAATGACTGTTCCTTCGCCAAGCGCTCGGCACTAGAAGTGAAAGTCACGGGTCTTTCGGAGACGACCTTAAAAACGTAGGTCCCGTGTCACGGTAGGCGCTGGCACGATAAAGAACCCTCACTGCTTAATGGCCCTGATAGCCGAGTTTAGGTCTAAATTTGAAGCCCTTCACCGGCATACGGTGACGTCTCCATATGAGTGAAAAATTCTCAAGAGGGACGTTAAACAATATACAATCAATAAATCAATCCTTTTTCTTACCCCCATTTTGTTAACTGCGATTTACTTTTCCGTCATTTCCTTTCATAGATGACATATTTCACTTCTACATGATGTTATTTGTTTTTGTCTGCTTTTAACAAAAACCATGCTCAGTCGTATGGCAGGAGAACTAAGGAACATAAATATGATAAAAAAATTCTTATTTGCTCTGGAAGTTATTAAAACTTCAAATTTTTAGACGGGTTAGATTGACAAATCCTTGCACTTCCACAAAATTTAATTCTTAATTTTATGCTTAATACTTAGGAAAAGTGGCAATCTTATTATGTATAAATAAAAATTATTAAAACTATAATCCAGAAAATAATGTTCGAAAGCAAAACATACAAAAACTGTGTACGTTTCGTTCAGCGCGGAATGACGATACATGTGAAGGAATTTTGCTTTCTAACATTTCTACTCTTTATATATTTTTTTTTTAGATTCAAGTTTTTATATTTTTCATTTATACACAACAAGATTGCCAATCATTTTAAGTATTAAGAATAAATGTTATTATTATTACAATAATAAAATTCTTTATGTGACAGAGTTATATGAACTGTATCTGTTTTATTTGTTATAATTTATTTCTGAGGTAACATGTTTGTATTTGGTAATTATTGTAAAGTTGTTTCATGTTTAGAAACTGTTTAGATCGGGATCAATTACCTAATTTTAGGGGGTCAGATTGCATAATATGATACCAAAGATTTTTGTATTCTTTCGAAGTTTTTTCTAGTCTTGTTTGCTCCTCTTATAATATGTTTATACCGGTATTTTGTTTTGCGTTATTTACTTCAATAAATGACATTTTTTCACTTTCACTACTGTTGTTATTTTAATTTTAATCCATCAAAAAACTAGCTCAGTTGACTTGGCTTCAGTCTTGCATAATAACAGAGGAACATAAAAGTAAAATTTGTGAGAATGTCAATGAAACCCATCCAAAAAAAATTTAAAATTTCAATAACTTTTAGATAAAATCAAATTTTTAATATATTTTTTTGTGTAAAATGCTATTAAAATATGTATAAGTCGCGATATTATACAGAAAATTTGAACTTCACATCTTTTTCCATGCACTTTTAAATCTTTTTGTACATTTTTTTCTGAGAGCCGCACGTTCAGTCCCCTTAATTATTAAAAAAAATACTACTTAAATTTCTGAGGGTAAAACTCAGTGGGGCGTATTTTGGCTTACTTGTTTCTAACAAATTGCTAGGTCTTTGTTTTTATACAGTACTGAATGTGTGACAGGTCGAAAGGGGAGGCATACTTTTTCCCACCTCTGGAAATTCCAGGGTCTCGTATGTGTTTATATTCTCTCTTCTTGAAGCTTTCTCAGATTAATCTCTGATCTTTATCTTTCACATTTTTCATTTAAAATGGCGAATATCTATTGAACCATTACATGCATTTGCATACTCTTGACCTCACATTATTGATTGGTGTTGGATTCTAGTAAAAGTATGACAAGAATTGACCTTGTTACAACATTTACAATCCCTTCATTGTAAAAGTTGATGACTGGATGCTACTTATCAGCATATGGCAATAAAGGGACTTACCGGCAGAGGGCAGGAGAAGTTCAGTGGGGAGAGACTTATTCTTCCGTTTAAATAATCGTCCAACAATCCCTGAAGCAGCTTTCGTCTTTTTACTCTCTTTGAAACCAATGGATAGTCTAATCTGTTAATAAGTATTTAATCTATAACATATTTTCCAGATCAATTATTTTGTTATAATTTAGAAGCGTAAAGCACAGGCGAAGAAGAAAAACACAGACGTACTGCCAAAGAAAAACATTCTTCGACCCCTGTTAGATCGTAAGAGCTTGTTTCACAGTATGAAGCACCGATACTCTTAGCCATATTTATTCCTTCCTCTGTCGTGATAAGATCATGATGTCCAGAACCTTCTGACCTCAGATCTACATAGAAAAATCGCGAATATTGTACATAACATTGCTTCAAGGTTTTCATTAAGCAATTTCAAATTGGTATTAATCTAGGTTTTCATTAACGAGATTGCCGTGTAGACTCAAAACAGTAGGACCTTTCTTATCTTTTTTATTTACAAATATTTACATTTGCAAATGTTTTCCTTTATCTAACACTATTGAAAGCAATGTGTATCTATATCTGTATAAATACAGGTACGGGGTCAAGAGGTCAAAGATGTGCGTATGGATAATCGTTTGACGTAATTTCTCAGTGACGTCATAAAGGGTCGACGCGCGTTCAGTGGATTACATACATGCCGTTGGGTTTGAAAAATAACGCATTTCACACGTTAAAAGTCACAATCAGGCAAATATAAAGTATGAATAAGTCACAAATGTAAATATAAGTAATAAGGTATCATTTTAAAACATCTATCGGGCTATAAATACGGGTGGGCTTTATGGAATTTAATCTCGTGACCAACCCGTATTTATATCCTGATAGATGTTTAAAAATGATACCTTATTTCTTAAATAGATACGATTGTTACATGATGATAGACAAATAATATACCTGTTTTACAAAGGACAAACACGATAGGTACATCGGGTAAATGATGCCTTACTTCGGGCAAAACCCTTTCTGTCACGTTACTAAGGTTACTTTTATAATCAATCGAATGACACAGGAGGACAACGTCAGTTCCGGGGTAAATGAGAGGTCGCAACCGATCAAAACTGTCATGACTGTACAAAAGAATTAAGCATATTATGTAACAGATACAAGCAATGATATTAACGAATTAAACGTAAGTTTACTGCGAATTAGCTTCGCTTAGCGTTCACAGGGAGACTTTAATGCGAATTAGTTTAATTCGGATTAGTTTACTGCGCATTAAATTACTTCGCATTAGCTCCGTGTGAACGCCAAGCGAAGCTAATTCGAATTAAATTTTGAGGCATGCGTAATGGCAAAAATGCCACATGTGCGTAGTCAGCTTGAAGTATTTGTGCTATTTTTGAGTGAAAAACTAAGGAAAATTGTGTTAATCACTAAAATATGTGTGCAGACACTGTAACATGTCAAATGCATCTGCTTCTGCATAAGGTGACGTGATTTGCAAATGACGTCATAATAGCCTTACTGACGCCTGGCCGTAGAATTAGAATTTTTAAAATTCGCATTAGTTTACTTCGCATTAGCTGTCGTGTGAACGCATTTTAATTCGCATTATTTTGATTCGCATTAGTTTACTTCGCATTAATTTACTGCGAATTAAACTCGTCGTGTGAACAAGGCATAAGTTATCAAACTTGAGGGATGCTACGCCTTTACGAATTTTATGGCCTCTGGTTTAAAAGACAAAGTTATTAAATGTAATTACTGTGAAATCACAAATTTTCGTGGGGGTTTAATTTTCGTTATTTTCGATGCATGAAGAGACCCACGAATTCATATCCAACACGAAATGTAAAATGATACATACACGAGTACTCATTAATTCTTGATCCACGAAATCAAATCCCCACGAACCAAGAGATTTTCCTCAAACCACGAAAATTTGACCCCACGAAAATATGTGATTTTACAGTATATCTATTAAAATCAATGAATTGGGAGATTCAGATATTGATTAAAGTAATTTATAAATGAAAAAAAATTCCACATGTTGGAAACATTGATAGAAACTCTGGATGCGTCAAACGTCAAAACACATGGTTTAAAAAAATCTGCGTCGAAGTTCAACGTCAGTCTGAAACGTCACATCTTTATGACGTTATTTCTCTGTTTTAGCAAAAATGCCATAGGGCCCTTTTCATGCTTTTGTCATGGGCGCAATCATTTGTTGGAAAGTTGTTACATGATACTCTTGAAAATGCCCATGGGCCTCTTGTTAATCTGTTTTTATGTTACAAGTAAGTCCGGTCCACTACTCAACGTTGTAGTGTAGGCGTATGAATATTTTATATTACAAATACATATAATAATACAATACTGGTATTATGAGTCAGTGAAAAAATAAATTAACGCACACACCCGCCCGTGTCATGGACCTGTAGACTATACGGTTTTCCATCCTCTATGATATCCGCACTATTATTATCAAGTACTGTATTGGCGTATGGCATGGAAATACTGGAGGTCTTCTTGAAGTAGGCAAGGAAGAGACCGGTCTTTCCTACACATGATTCTCCCACCAGGACCAGTTTGACCTCCTCCATGACGGAATTTCCGCTAAAGGAAAACAAAAAAATGTTTCATGATGAAAAATTACTAGCATTTTTTAATATTTCTTAAACTCTTTATATAAAATAAATTTTCAGTGAGACATACCATGGATGTTACCTTACTGGCAACTCGATTTAACAAATAATAACAACTGAAAGTAAAAATCTGTTTCCATTGTTACAATCTTTCGTGAGCTTAAGATTACGTTTAGGGATTACATGTATATTTATTGACGCTGAGGGGAATCACTTGACACCCACTGGAGATGGACGCTTAAAAATTCTGTCTGGTGTTTGTTCCGGTTTTGTTTTGGTTTGGCTTGTTTGTTTTTTTGTTTGTTGTTGATTTTCTTTTTGGTGCTTTTTTGTTGCGATGATTATTCTGTATACCTGAACCGTTCGTTTGTGTTTGGGATATATTTTCATCTATGTCTATTATGCATCTGATACCTCGAAAATGCAAAGGAGATGAAAATCAAATAATGCAAATACATCTGACAAGAGTTCAGTGAAGCTGTCAGGCAAGGCTGTAAATATGAACTTACGACAGATTGAAAGCCTTTCAGTATTGGGGTCGACTCGTTAGATGTCTCCGCAAAGAGTGAAAGGGGCATGCTTTGTCGACTATTTGAAAACAATACTAACAATCGTGACGCTGTAGTAGTATTGAATATATGTCTCGTACACAGTTCTGTATTAAAAAATATCAGACAGTCGAATACTGTCTGATACTTTTTTTAATACAACATTGTATGAGACATTCATTACAATTACTTAAAACATTGAGACAGTCCAATATTAGAACAAGAAGCCCGTAGGCCATGTCGCTCACCCGAGGAACTGGCTAGGTAAAAGCAATTATCAGTTAAGTTTTGAAAAGTTTAAATATGATAAAAGTGGGTTCGATGGAGGGGGTGTATTTGAACAAACTTAAATCTACACTTCCTAAGGATGTTTTTGAATTAATAAGACACATAATGGCTTTGCGGTATATAATATGAAAATTTCAATTGATATAGCCTTTATTTTCCTTTGTTATGATCCACTTTAATAGCTCCTCTATTCTCCTGATTGGTAATTATTTGAACAAATTTAAAATCTACATAACCCTTTTTGATGCTTTTATATTCATAATCAATCATGGCTTTGTTGTTTTTGTGAAGAATGATCACGATTTTCCTCATGTATTCCTACGTAAAACCTTGGTCACCCATTGTGGCCCCGCTCTACCCCTGGGGGTTATAATTTGCACAAACTTGAATCTGCACTACGCGAGGATGATTTTATATACAATGTAAATATGACCAATCACAGCTTTGCTGTTCTCGAGGAAAAGATTTTTAAAGATTCTTCCTATGTATTCATACTTAATAACCCATATCTTATAGCCCCATCCTTGCCCCTAGGGTCATGATTTGAAAAAAAAAATTAAATCTACAATAACAGGATGCTTCCATATAAATATGACCAATAATGACTGCTTTCTTGAGATTTTTAAAGATTTTTTCTATGTATTCCCATGTTATACTTTGATCCCCAATTGTACCCCCATCCTACCTCCGAGGGTCATGATTTGAACAAATTTGAATTTACACTACCAGAGGATGCCATGAGTTTCATTTTTCCTGGCCTAGTGGTTCTTGAGAAAAAGTTTTATGAAACAATTTCCTAGTATGTATTCCTTTGTGAAATTTTGATACCCCAATGGCCATAATGGCCCCGTCCTTCCCCCAGGGGTCATGATTTGAACAAACTTGAATCTTTAATACCAGAATCGAAGATGCTTTTATATGCGTTTCATCTTTCATGGCTTAGTCGTTTTTGAAAAGATTTTTAAAGATTTTTCTCATGTATTCCAATGTTGAATTATGATACTCGAATGAGGCCCCATCCTTCCCCCAAGGGTCATGATTTGAAGAAATTTAAATGTACATTACCAGAGGATGCTTCTACTTGAGTTTCATCTTTCCTGGCCCAGTGGTTCATTGAGAAGATTTTTCCTAATGATGCTTTCCTATGTTAAAATTTGATACCCCATCGTGGCCCCATCCCTCCCCCGAGGGTCATGATTTGAATCAACTTGAATCTACACTACATGATGATGCTTCCTCATGAGTTTCATTTTTTCTGGCCCAGTGGTTCCTGAGAAGAAGAGTTTTAAATATGCCAATAATTTTTCACTAATTCATAATTTTCTTCCCTTTGAAGAGGGCGTGTCCCTTCATTTGAACAAACTTGACTCCCCTTTACCAAATGATGCTTTGCAAGTTTGGTTGAAATTTGCTTAGTGGTTCTTGAGAAGAAGATGAAAATGTAAAAAGTTTACAACGATAACAACAACTACAACGCGACAGGCAACGGACAAATCTTGATCAGAAAAGCTCACTTGAGCCTTTGGCTCAGGTGAGCTAACTAATGTTAATGACATCTGGAGCAATTCTTTCAAGAATGTAGGCTTAAATGAAATGTACTCAATATCTAGGGAATCAGATACACCGTAGACGGCGATGGAAGTAATTTTAAAAGTTTGATTTGGATAGTGCTTGTGAATGAGCCTTTTCTTTTTGGAAAACAAGGGAAAGGGTGGGAGCTTTTCTTTAACGATGTTCGATCCTGATATTTAAAGTCTTAAACTTTTTTTGCCAAGTATATTTTTAGTTTCTACATACATAGCTTAATTAAAAT